CGTGGACACCAAGATCCCTCTGTTCCTCCACACTGCTGAGAATCCTGCCATTAACCCTGTATTCTGCATTCAAATTCGACCTTCCAAAATGAATCACTTCACACTTTTCCAGGTTGAATTCCATCTGCCACTTCTTTGCCCAGCTCTGCATCCTGTCAATGTCCCGTTGCAACCTACAACAGCCCTCCACGCTGTCCACAACTTCACCAACCTTCGTAACATCGGCAAACTTACTAACCCACCCTTCCACTTCCTCATCCAAGTCATTTATAAAGATCACAAAGAGCAGAGATCCCAGAACAGATCCCTGCAGAACACCACTGGTCACTGAGCTCCAGGCTGAATACTTTCCGTCTATCACCACCCTCTGTCTTCTATTGGACAGCCAGTTTTGTATCCAGACAGACAAATTTCCCTGGATCCCATGCCTCCTTACTTTCTGAATGAGCCTACTATGTGGAACCTTATCAAATGCCTTGCTAACATCCATATACAGCACGTCCACTGCTCTACCTTCATCTATGTGTTTTATCACATCCTCAAAGAATGCAATAAGGCTTGTGAGGCATGACCTGTCCCTCACAAAGCCATGCTGACTATCTCTAATCAAACTGTGCTTTTCCAAATAATCATAAATACTATCTCTCAGAATCCTCTCCAATAATTTGCCCACCACAGAAGTGAGACTGACTGGTCTGTAATTTCCAGGATTATCCCTATTCCCTTTCTTGAACAAGGGAATGACATTTGCCACCCTCCAGTCTTCTGGCACTACTCCAGTGGACAGTGAGGACGCAAAGATCATTGCCAAAGGGGCAGCAATCTCTTCCCTTGCTTCCTGTAAATAACCTTGGGTATATCCCATCTGGCCCAGAGGACTTATCTATCCTCATGTTTTTTAAGATTTCAAGCACATCCTTCTTCCTAACATCAACCTGTTCGAGCCTATCTGCCTGTTTCACGCTGTCCTCACAAATGTCAAGGTCCCTCTCACTGGTGAATACTGAAGCAAAGTATTCATTAAGGACCTCCCCTACCTCCTCTCACTCCGCACACAAGTTCCCTCCACTATCCTTGATTGGCCCGACTCTCACTCTGGCCATCCTCTTGTTCCTCAAAGGTCAGGGAGTTGTGATCACTATCGCCGAAATGCTCTCCCACCCAAGAGCTCTGACACCTGACCTGGTTCGTTGCCAAGCACCAAATCCAATATGGCTTCCCCTCTAGTCAGCCTATCTACATATTGAGTCAGAAATCCTTCCTGGACATACCTGACAAAATCTGCTCCATCCAAACTATTTGCACTTGGGAGGTTCCAGTCGATATTAGGGAAGTTGAAGTCATCCATGACATCAACCCTATTACTTCTGCACCTTTCCACAATCTTTCTCCCAATCTGATCCTCAGTGTCTGTTTTGCTACTGGGGGGTCTATAGATAACTCCCAGTAAAGTGACTGCTCCTTTCCTGTTTCTGACTCCCACCCATACTGACTCAGTGGAGAAACCCTCCTCCACGACCTCCCTTTCTGCAGCTGTGATACCGTCCCTGATTAGCAATGCCACTCCCCGACCTCTTTTATATCACTCCCTATTTCTTTTGAAACATCTATACCCCAGAACATCCAGCAACCATTCCTGCCCCAATGTTATCCAAGTCTCCGAAATGGCCGCAACTTCGTAGCTCTAAGTACTGATCCAATAATGAAGCAAGGTAATCATTTGGTATGTCTGCCATTTTCTCATGGTCAGGGACAATATTCCCACTCACAGGCTTCAGTTGGACTTGCTGCTTTCCTTTTATATAACTATAAAATCTACTCTTTTATCTTTTCTGTCCCTTGCAAGTTTCCTTTCAGAATCCTTTGTAGCTCCTGTTATAAGCTGCTGATTGCCCCTTTGTTGGTCTTTGTATTTGTCCCATTCTGTAGGATCCATGCCATTCTTTATGTTTTTATAAATTTTTTCTCTGAATGTTATGCGGCCCCTTACCTGCTGCAATGTCCTTGGTGAAGGAGCCTTTGAAAGCTTGTAATTTTACATAAACCTGTTGGACTATAACCTGGTGTCGTGTGATTTCTAACCTTGTCCAATTAAAGTCACTCACTTGCTCCCAGTCAGGACCGGGAACCCAAACTGGATTCCAGCTGGAACAGGGGATCCCCTCGCTGGTACCAGCTGGAATAGGGGATCCCCTTGCTGGCACCAGCTGGGACAGGGGATCCCCTTGCTGGTAACCATGTGGGACAAG